TATGAGTTTGATTTTGCTTGAAATATCCTTCCTATTCTGCTGCAAAAATAAGACTTTGCTTTAACACCAGGAAGGAAATGAGCCCCTTTAATTCACTTTCTTTTTTTTTCTTTAGGTTTTGGCCTTGGTCTTTGTCAGGAAAGTCATGGATCTCTGTTTCTCTAAGCGAGAGCTGAGCTGGTTAGATGATCTCATGCCTGAAAGCAAAAAGAAGAAGTTGGACGATGCCAAAAAGAAGGCCAAGGAGGAAGAGGTCATAGTTCTTGCACCAACTGTACACTCTGGGGCAGCCTCAAATTACAGAACATAGGAAAGGCCACATGAAAAGTCAGCATGGCTGGAGTCCCAAGGGTTATATTTAGGAGCTGGGAGGATTACTCCAAAGATACTCTCAGCCCATGTCTGTCCTTCATTTTCAGACTTGATAACCAGTTGTTTTTCCCTCTGTCTGCACTCTATACTCATCAGGTTCACACTTCGAATATGAACATAGAATCTGCTCTTATTATCAGATCTAATAGTTCATGTTCTCCCTGAAGGCCTGATTTGACAAGTATACAAACCCTATTGTTTTCTGAGAGTATTTGTTAGGTACCTAAGTGCGGATGGTGCTGTGATTCACACAGAGAACGTGCGCTGGCCTTTCTGTCCTGCCCCATTTCCCTCAGTGCTTGCGGTCTGCCATTCACACAGCGGACCCTCAGTCAGTGGCCCTACATGCAAAGAATGGGTGTGTGGCAAAATGAGAATACCAGATTGAGAAATGGGTGAGCCTGAAAGTGTTTCCAGATCCAGTTAGTGCCTGAAACAGTGTCCTTTGAAATTCATTTTAAAGGGTTTTCCCCCTAAAATCTTGAACTTTAAAAATCTTGTATTTTTTCTTGCTTTATTGAGATATAATTGACATACATTGTGTAAGTTTAAGGTGCACCACACAGTGATTTGATACATGTATATACTGTGAAATGATTACCACAGCGGGTTAGTTAACACGTCTGTCCCCTCACACGTAGTCCCATTTGTGTATGTGTGTGGTCGGAACTTTAAAAATCTAACCTTTTAGTGACTTTCAAATATCCAGAACGGTATTGTTAACCGTGGTCACCATGCTGTGCCTTCCATCCCCAGTACTCATTCATCTTGTTGACCACCTTCACCCATGCACACCCCCTACCCCTGGCAACCACCACCCTGTTCTCTGTGACTATGAGTTCAGTTGATTTAGATTCTCTATGTAAGTGAGATTATACAGTATTTGTCTTTCTCCATCTGACTTTTTTCACTTAGCATAACGCCCTCAGTTTTCATTCATGTTGTTGCAAATGTCAAGATTTTCTTCTTTGATGGCTAAATAATATTCCAGTGTGTGTGTGTAATTTATTATGGAACATTTCAAACATATGCAAAGGTAGAAGGAACGGTCAGCAGTCATACTCCCCCAACTGCCTTATAATTATTTTTAACCATCTGTTTGAATCAGGATCTAAATAAGGTCCAGATATTGCAATTGGTCAATATGTTTCTCAAATCTGTTTAGGGGTTCCCCTTCTGTCTTTTTTTCTTTTTGTTGGAGTAACTGGGTCTTTGACTTATAGGGTTTCCTACCATTTAGTTTTACTAAATATGTCCTTTTGTATCATTGAAAATGTTCTTCTGTCCTCTATATTTCCAGTAAATTGGTAGTTGTATCTAAAAGTTTATTCAGATTTGGATTCTTTTAAAAAAATTATTATCCCATAGGTACAGATATTGGATTGTCTCTTTTGTGTGTGTGCTGAGTCAAATCTATAAAAGAAAATAATTACAGTCTCTTATAATAAATGTGAGAGAAAATCAGGTAGAAATTACAGTGATTGAAAAATGGGCTGGTGTAGACTATTGCTTTCACTTGGTTCAAGATAAAATAATGTCTCCTTTTCTTCCAGGAGGCTGAGAAAATGTTAGAAATTGGGGGAGACAAGTTCCCCTTAGAGAGCAGGAAGTTACTAAGCAGTCCTGGAAAGAACAACAGTTTCAGGTAAAACTCCCCAAACATTAAGATGTTGACTGTTTTGGTTATTCTGTTAACGTTCTGGCTTCGTGCGGTGCAGGGGGTGGTGTTACAGATGCAGCTGCTGGTATAAAGAGCTGAACATTCAGCCTCCCAATTCCAGCCTGTGGAAACACCTCTTCCTTTCCTGGTTTGCTGAGGGCCTGCTGTGCGCCAGGCACTGTCCCAGGTGCTGGGAGTCAGGGAGGACGGAGGCAAGGGAGCCCGTGTACCCAGCGCCGTCTCCGTGCTACAAGGTTTACCACGTGATCTCATTTAACCTGCACAACAACTCTGTGATAGAAGTCTTACAATCCACTCCTGTACAGTGAGGAAACTGGGTCTTGGAGGGTTTTAGGTAATTTGCCCAAGGTCTCAGTGTTTCTGAGTAGAAAGTTTAAGGTTCAAACCCTAGTCTTTATATTTCTCAAACCAGTGCTCCCTCTGCCTTTCTCTGCCACCTTCCAAAGATGAACAGGATGATACAGTCCTTGTTTCTCAGCCTGGTGGGCATGAAATTACCATGCTTATGTAAGCCTTCCAGGCTGGGCAGAGACAGCCCCTTCCAGCTTGGCTCAAGGCACCTACAGTCCCAGGAGCCAAGGGGGAACTGAACTGGTTTTCCCCAGATTCCTTACTTCTGCCAGTGATCTTAGCCCTTTGGTCAGTTAAACCTGTTGCTCACCACAAATCACAGGAAGCTAAATCGGTCCATTTGTGGTCTCATTCCGGCCTTTTGTTTCCACTTTGGAAGAGGAACATGTAAGCTGAAAGAAGCCCAGGGATGGGGAGGGGACAAAAGAGGAAGAGAGAGGGGATCTGGGTCACCTTGATCCTGGATAATTTACTGCTGAATTATTGAATTGATTGTGGTTTATCCTGAGGGGGAGGTGAGGAAAGTCTTTTCTTTGGTTATTTGTTTGTTTATGACAGCTAAAATAACACATATTTAAAGTGTGCAACATTATATATATAAGTAATTATTGCAGTTAAACTAATAACATATCCATCACCTACTATACTTACCATCCTTTTTTATGTATAGTGAGAATACTTGAGATCACTTTCTTAACAGATTTCAAGTGTACAATACATTACTATTAACTATAGTCACCATGCTGTACATTAAGTCTTCAGAACTTATAACTGAAAGCTTGTACCCTTTGATCAATATCTCTGCTTTCCCCCCAGCCACATTCTACTTTCTATTACTATGAGTTTAACTTTTTTGAAACTGACCCCAAAGAAATGGAATCTTTAGTCCTTAATAAACTTTCCACATGTTGTTATGGAAGGAGCCATAAGCTTTGCCTTCTCTGGCGACAAAGTAGGGGCAATGTTCCTTCTCTAGCAGATGTCGCCTCCTCTCTTGGCCTTGTAGAAGGAGACAGTCTGGCATGTCGGAAACTCCAGAGTACTTGGGCTTGAGGTTACCAAGGATCGGATTCAAGGTCTCGATTCTCCACTTACTGACGTTTGACCTTGGACGAGCTCTTAACCCTACAAGCTTTGGTTTCTATACCTTCAAAATGAGGATGTTAATAATCTCTGGTGCCGTGATATTAAGATAATATATTGTAACAGTCCTCTGTAAACTACAAGTGGAAAAGATTTGGTCACCTAATTGAGAAAATGAACAAAGAGGGCTTAGCACTGTGCCTGGCGCACAGCGAGTGCTCTGTAAGTTGTAGCTCCTGATGCTCCACTGCTGGCATCATAGCGCTACCACCAGCATCCTCACAGGGGCCCTTCAAAGGAGAACAGAGTCATGGGTCAGGGCTGGCTGCTACCCACACCCCAGCCTGGGCTTCAGTACTACCTCGCAGACCCCCCTACCTCTCAGCATCCCAACCATCTGGTTCCTGGTGCTCCTGAGAGCTGAGAGACAAGCTCCCTCAGACCTCATCTTTTCCCTTCTGGTGGGTAGTTCTCATTATAGACTGAGATGTGTATCATATTTGTTTGTCTGACATTTACTGTCCTAAGCCTTGATTTCAGATGTGACCCCTCTGAGATTAATATATCTGATGAGATGCCTAAAACCACGGTCTGGAAAGCTCTCAGTATGAATTCGGGAAACACAAAGGAAAAGAGGTAAAGAGAATTATAATTGCTGGTATTTATTTATTTATAGCTTTTAAAAATAGCAATCATGGTGAAAGTAAAATATATTTTAGTTGTAAAATTGAATATGTTTATTAAATACCACATTTAGGACTGCTGCTAACCCCACAAGAATAGCTCTAAGCCTCAGAAAAGTAAAAATGTTTTCTAACTATTTGAGCAGATACAGTGTTTTGAGCTGCACATTTACACAGGCCCAAAGTCAGGATGGAATTATTTGGGGATGTAAATTTGCTTTATCTATTTTGTTCCTGTAATCCTCTTTCTAGTTCCCATTTCAAAATCTGTAGAGCATCTCTCTGGTTGCTGCAACCACACAAACTGGAAAATCCTTAGAATATTCAGATGTTATTAATACTGATACAGACTTTAACCTCTTTAACTTGTTCCATAATGGGAATTGTTATCAAGTAAAGATTTTGAAATATTAAATTGTAACTGTTTTCTTATTTTGGAAATTAAATTTTGAATATCATTTGTCAGTCACATAGATCAATTTTAATCTGGTTAATGAAGAAAATGGAAATACTTGAGACATTTTTACCTGCATTGAGGTAGGCTGTGCACCCAAATTACATGAAAAATTTGGTCCAAACACAAAGTCATCAGATAACTGAAGGCAAAATCTTAGGTCTTATTAAAAGCAACTTTTCTAGTTTAAAATAAAAAAGCAGTAGGCTAGGTTGGGAGACCTGGCCTAGTTATTAATTCCATGTGTAATCTGGCAGACCACTGTTTCTGGCACTCAGTTTATTCAGCTGTGAAATGGGAGTAATAATTACTAACCACCTCACTCATAAGGCTGCTCTGAGGAGAAGCTGATGTGTTTCAAAAAGTCACAGCCACCAGTGGGTAGTAGTGGTGGGTTATTTCTTCATCGAATGGGTTAAGATAAATCTGTGCTGAGTGTGAGTGAAATATAGAATCTTGTTGCCTTCAGAGGAAAATCCAGGCAGCTGTCGAAACGTATAACGCACATGGTTATTTTTAGTTGAGAACTAGTTTACTTGTAAATGAACTTAAAATATAGCCAGATCCAAATTGTGGTGACATCTTCAAAGTATTGTGTTAAAAAGCAGGAATGAATCATGTGTTCCCTTTTTGTCTAATTGTAACACTTTTATTCAGTCTCTTCAACTAAAAGTCTTTGCTGGGATGGAGGATTTGGGCCATGAGGTGCCTCAGGGAAGTTCTGGTTACAGAGAAGATGGCGAGTCCCTCAGAGAAGAAGCGCGCCTAAGTCTGGCCCTGTCCTTGGTCCTGTCCAAGCCATGCCGAGCATTCAGTTGTTCGTGGTGTGCCTCGGGGGCCTCGCCTGGAGTGAGCGTGGAAGCAGAAGACCACTCCCTGGTACTTCTCCTCTTCCTCCTCTTTCTCTTCAGAGCTGCCATCATTGAAGACCTAGCTTCCCATTTTCCAGACATTTTCTCTGAAACCCTCTGCTGGCCTGCTGAGCCATATGTATCCATTCCGCCACTGAGGATTTCTTCAATGAGCTTCCACTTCCTAAAGGACGGAGTGGGGGATTGGGAAGAGAGCAGAGAGAAAAGGAGAGCCTCTCCAGCCCCATAGTGACTGCAGGCTCCCGGGCAGCCCTGGGCCTGGGTTTGGCTGCCTACTCTGGGGGATGCTGGTCAGCCCCAGAGGCTGTCAGGAGGGTCTGCTCTTAGGTGGGCCAGCACCCTGGGCACTGGCAGTGCCCACCTACATAGCCAGAAGATGCTTCTGATCCGGGTATATCTTCTTCACTCCTTAGCAGCAGCCTGCACAACTCAGCGAGCACCTTCGATGATGAAAGGGCCAAGGGCAACATTGGAGTTGCTTAGCTTGGACAGGAAAAGGCTCCAGGGAAAATCAATAATGATGAGTGAGGATGAGCAGCTCCTCTTGGTTTCGCTGATAGAGTAATAGAACGCATCAATTGCTACAGAAGGAATTAGTTTAGACACCAGGAAGGACTTCCTACATAGCCTGAAGATTTGTCATAGTGTCTGCTTTCTAGATACCTGGGAAAGGTTTGATTCTAGTTGTTGGTGAGTAGAAAGGGATGTAAGGTGTTTTTATTGGCCATGTTGTGGAAACACCGTGTCTGGCTGCTGTCTCTAGAGGACACATTCTGATTCCATTCCTGGAGAGACCCAAGTGCTTACATAATGTCTCCTTAGCTGCCTTAGTAGCAAACCATCATCAACTCAACGGACCAAACCACCTTCACCATCATGAATTTTTTTGCTGACAAATGCCCTGACTTTCAGGTGTAAAAAGCCACACTGGGAGATGAACTTTAAGTGGTGAAATTAGTTTTGGTATTTAGTTTAAAACTGTATTTATAGTTTCTGTCTTCTCTTCTCTGTTGCAATGAATACCAAGGGTTTGGGCTCCATCATGTATAGACTTTCCCTTCCTTTGTACACAGAATGTGATTAACAAGTGTGTCCATACCCAGGGAATCTGATCATATCAGTTTCTATCCCAGAAAGTATTTGTACAGTGCTACCATCCCCTGGTGTGCTCCCCATTCATAGGTGAAGAGTTGGCTACATAACATTATTGAATTTTGCATTCCTGAGACTCTGAAAATGTATTAGTGTATTCTAGTCTCACTCTAAGAATCTTTGATATTGAAGGAATCCTGCATTTCTTTCATATTTCCCTATCTCTTAAAGCCACAATTATTTTAGTTTACAGATGATTTTCAAAATATTTAACAACTAGTACTGGATGGACACCAACCACTCAGAACGGATACCTGCTGTAAACAAGCAGTACGTATGGCACTAGTGCCTACTGGCTGAATGTCACTCTGCTTTCAAATATTAAAATGATACCCCTTTGGACTGTGGGTATGGTTCCTGCTTGTCTGATTTCCGCTCACAAGGCGGTTTTAGGGACAGCCTCTTCTTCCGTTCACATGGTGCAGACAGGAACAGGCATGCTTCTTGAACTATATGGGCATTAAAATCTTTGTGAGCCAAAGCTTCACATTTTATCACCTTAGGATAAATGTAATCATTGTACCCATTTACCTACCTAATTTAGAAAAATCAAAAGGCAGCCTGTCAATGGGAAAAGCTTTCTTGCCGACTCTTCCGGCCCTCTGTGGCTGCTTCCTTCAGCTTACCTCTTTTTCATCTTCTCTGTTCCCTGAGAACATCCCCCCATCCTTCCACCGTCTTGCCCCTCGCACCTCTCCCTGCCACCTCTGTGTAGGGAGGGTGGCGACTGCTTCACCTGTTCCCCTATCCTCAGCATGGCTGTGAGAAATGTAACAGGGAAGAATCCATCATTCTGCAAATCTAGGTGACAGCGTCACTCAGAAACATCTCTCTTCTGATACACTGACGTCTTGTGATGCCCTGTGCTGCCAGCTTCTTGAGCGTGGGGAGCCTGTCTTTGTTAACCCTGTGGAGTGCACTTCCCAAGCCAAACCCTCCCAGGTTACTGCGCCTGAGGAATGTTAGCTACTTTGGAAGGCTCTGCCAGGCTTTTTAGGTTCTTAGGTTTTCCTCAAACAATAGCTCACCTCCTTTGTGCTGCATCTCGGTGGTAGGAATCATTCCCCATCCTTCCTCTTTTGTCTTTCCCAAGTTCCACCCAACACTCAACCCTAGTCCTAGCTGCTTCCCTGCTCAGGTCTGTGGCTGGTGACTATCGGTGGCTGAGTCAAGCTAGGTGGCATTTAGGGTGTGAAACTGGGAGTTGTGGTGACACAGCAGCCACGTGTGTGAATGTGTGTACGTGTGCATGTGTGTTTACTGAGATCTCAGGAGATTTCATTTCATTAAACAGCCTCGTGCACCTAAGCTGTGGGGACATCAAAAGAATATGGTCCATCTCCCATCTAGGGCTTCCCTTCTCTATTCTGATGGAATAACTTGAGGGCAAATACAGGAAGATTAGTTTTAGGAAAAAGTATATAAGTTCAACATTAAGGAGAAACTGGTTTGGGGTAGAAAGCAAGGCATGTAGTTAGGTAATTTCCGGGCACAGGCTCGCTTGGTCCAGAGAAGTAGTCTACCTCTTGTGACAAGGGGAGATTTCGGGAGTAGTTTGAGCATTGGCAGGCCAATGCCCTGGTAGGCTGATAGTGTAGAGGTAGGAAGGGAGGGAGACCAGGGATTTACGACAGTCATGGTGAGTCGAATCTTGGGTCAAAGGGAAGAGCTGTCATTGCTAAGCTGGTGGGTTACTTCCTAGCCCATGACTTAGGGAAGGGTTAGTCTAGAGAGAAGGTGAAGATTAGCAAATAAACGTTGTGAAATTGCCAAATATGTGTGGTTGCATAAAGTGCAGGCTAGCTCTTTGTAGCTATATATGATTTCAAACTGCTGGTGATGGGGTTATCAGGACCTCTGGTCTTTCCTGCACTCAGCTCCTATTCCCATCTCCTTGTTCACAGAACTTTGCCTTTGGGGTAGAGAGGTAGGGAACCATATATTTTCAAAAGATGTTATAAGTAGTTGCTATCTCTAGTTCTCTGGGATGTGACTGGCTTTTAAATTAGTCATAAATGTTTGATAAAAATCTGATTTATGCTAAGTCTTAGGTTGACATCTCAGGCTATGACAACTGTGACCTTCAAGAGGTCTGTGCTTTGGGGAATCTGTGGTTTCTGGTCATGCAAAAAAGACAGTTGCCAGTTCTACTTTATCTCCTACATACTCAATGTTCTAGACATTCCTCTTAGTAGAGGAATCAGTAATTCTCCCTGTATCTTCTCTGTCAATTTCAGTGTCCATGTTCAGAGTCTCTGCATTTTCCTGAAGTGTAGGAGAAGGCTTGCCCCCAGGGCCCCCGGCTTTCACTTTAACTAGCATCAGAAATACTATCCCATATGTTCTCTATGCTACTTCATCAGCTTCTCGAAATGTCTTCATTTGCAGGAGAATTAGCACCTCCTCCAAGGACTCTTAAGCAATCTTCGCTAGTTCATTCCTACATTTTCCTCTGACTTCTCAGGTTCCCAAGCCCATCCTGGCAGGACATTCAACACACATTGGATGTTCTCAGCCTTCTTGACTTTCTTTTAGTTGTACTTGTCAGGCCCCCTCTGTAAGGCAGAAATCCTTCCTGCTGGCCCTGACTGCCCAAATGCTACATCATCTGAGTTCTGCCCCCTTTTACTGACTCAGCTTTTCCAAACCTCTCTCCCCTCCTTTCTGCCTTTTCCTCCATCTTTCAAGTTCTCCTTGGAGGGAAGAAGTTCTTGGTCAGAGGTCCTAATAACCACCACCAGTTGGGGGTGGCGAGAGAGGTGGGGAGGCTGGACAGTTCTGTGGGCTTTTCCAAAAGGGGACTTCATGGTTATTGGCCTTATTTAGGATGAGGGATTAAGGAGTCTCAAGGCCTCGGGCTCATCCATATTTCAGTGTAAACAGGAAAAAAAAAAAAAAACCTCCAAAACCCAAATAGAAGGGTTTTTTCTACCAGATGCATTCTTTATGATTCTTGGTTCCCTTGGGGTCTTATATTAATTTCAGAGAATGGATAGTTGGCTCCATTCACATTTCTTTTCCAGAAAGGAGGCTAATTTTCATAACCAAAGGAGGTGTGAACTTAACTATATCATTGCTTGAAGCTTGAAAAGAGGAAAGGAGTGTTATGTGAATCTTCTCAATAGGAAAATTCAGAAAGTGGAATGATTTACCCGAAGGCATAATTCTTTTAGGAGATTCTGTGCTCAAAGGAAGTGGAAGAGTTTCTGATCCTTCTGAATAGAAACGGAAGAGCATTTTCTTAAACCTAACCCACTTTCAGCACTGGAGAATACAGAATTTTGCTTCTAGCTGATGGTATTAATATTTCTGAGAGACAGAGTGCGCCCACCCACAGCCCCTTTTGGAGCCCAGCAGAAATCAACAGAGCTTGGGTTCTCTTAGCAGGTTTGCAGTTGACTCCAACATACAGGTTTCTCACACGTGCAATAACGTTGGAAACAGAAGTTCCAAACTGAATGTGCAATTACTCCTTTTGCAAAAGAGGCCAAAATCCTCCCAACTCCTCTCTCCCATATTTACTCCTCCAAGATGATAAGCCTCCCTCTCGTTTATCTGTGTCTGTCTGTCCGGTTGCTTTGATAAGGCTGCCCTCCGAAGCAAACGGTGTCAGGTGGAGAGCGGAGCAACCTTCCCACGGAAGGGGACAGCTTGAGGTGCTGGTACATTTCCCTCGTTTTCTGTGTTCTTCTTTCTAGTACGTCTCATGTAGAGATAGAGATATTTTTGTTTTAGAGATTCCAAAGTATATATTTTTAGTGTAAGAAATGTACCCTCTCCACACTCCACCGTGTAAATAGAACCGAGAACAGATGTGTCGTTGTGATAGTCCCCTAGCGATCTGCGGTAGGAATAGGACCCCCTCCCTCACCACCAAGTCTCACAGTCTGTGTCTGGGAACCAGGCGAGGTGGCGGTGTCGCTTCTGCCTGCCCAGACCTTGCTGTGCTCAATGGGTGAAAAATAAAATCTGTGTAACTGTTCATACCTGTGGTGTTCTTTAAGCTCGAAACACGGCGCTAAGCCAAGGTGACTATCTTCCAAACTTGAGAAGGTGAGTTATGAAGATGGGGAGAGAGGAGTGTGGGGTCTGCTGAGCGTGTCTGAAGAGGAGCATGTGCACGTCCTTGGTGCAGACCCTGCACAGTCCCTGGGCAGAGCCACGGAAGCAGGCTGGAGGGCCCTTTCTTTGGGGACTGCTTAGACTGTTTGGGTGGGGGGACATGATAACGTGAAAAGAAAGACCCTTTTGGAGATATAACAAGGCTGATGAGACCAATTGCTAGTATTTAAGGACTCTCCACTGCCTAGAAATCCAGATTTTAAAAATCGGCTGTCACTCCCGATTTTTTTAGTTTTGGGGAGGTGGGGGGTTCTCCATTTCTCTTCCTCTCAAATGCAGTTGTTGCAAGAATGGAGAAGAGGGGAGCAATGGAGGAAGAGTAGAGAGGCGAGTGAGGGGGTGAAAGGCAAGGGCAGAGGGAAAGCCAATCAGCAAGCTTTGTGGAGTGACTTTAAGGGTATCAGCTAGGAGCATCCTGAGCACAGCACAGTGTGAGTGTTCTATTAAGAAGAGCCAGGACACGTGGGCTATGGATATGGAATGAACTAGCTCTGAGGCCTTTTGCTATCTTTTGGCTATAGACACATTATGTCATTTTGTCTCACAGAGAGACATGCTTATATTGCATTGAGTACTGGGTGGTGTATGGGAATGTTACTGTGCAGGGAATGGAGGCAGTTTTCATCCTGTAAGTAATGAAAAGTGCTTAGGACGGTACCTGGCACAAACTAAGTAACAAGAAATCTGGAGATGGGTGGTTCCTGGGCTAATGGAAGCCATTACATCAGAGCTCTGGTCAGATTCTCTGCAGTTCGTTTGGTTTTCCCCCTCATAGTCACAAGATGGCTGCAGAAGCTCCAGGTATCACGTCAATCAGCAGAACTCCCAAATGCAAGCGAGGGTGAGGGGGCATTTCTCTCACTTCTCCCTCTTTCTCTTAAAGGGGATAACCTTTCCCAGAAGGTACCCCCCACCTCACATGTCATTGTCAGAACTGGGTCATATACCCCTCTCTAAGATGGCAGGATGGGATGGGATTACCTTGTTTGGCTTGGATCAATTGAGCGTCATCCTCCAGAGTTGGGCCTATTATCCTTGACCACATTGCTGCTCTAATACTTGTACAAAATTAGGATTCTGTTAGCAAGAATTCTGTTACCAAGGCAGGAGCTGTAAGCCATTAAATATCCAAAAGTGTTTTCCAGAAGGACCCAGGAGAGCCTGAAGCAGGTAAGGCTGGCCCCTCCCTGCGTACCCTTTGTGCCTCCTCCGGGAGCAGGTCAGCCCCTCTCCTGCCCTTCCGGTCCTTGGGCTTGCAGCTGGGTGGGGGAGTGGACCCCTGGAGTCAAGGGGAAAGAGGTCACGGTCATTGTAACCTTTGTGTGGTTTATAGGTATAACTTGGGAAGGAAGAGGCCTTGCTGGGACTTCCTGGCCTCAGCCATGCTCTCCAGCTGTCTCACCTGAGCCTTCCATTTAGGGCTGTAGGGTGCTAGCCCAGTGGAGGACCATCAATGCCTCCCTCAGCCGTGGATGTTTGGGATACATTCCCTGGGTGCAGAGGGGAGAAGTGGCGAGCATAGGGCATTCCCAAGCCCCTAAAGGGTAATGGCCATTTCTCTCCTATTACCATAGTGCCCAAAGCCCCTCCCCACTCCCAGAAATTATATTATCACCTGCTTTCCCTAATAGACACAGTGAGTACAGAGAAGACACAGACCCTGATGACTCAAGCAAAATAGCGGTAAGTTTTCTAGTAACTTTGAGCTGTGATTCTAGCTCTAATTTTGAGTGGTAAGAGGCTCCACGTCCTCTTTAACAGTTCTGTCATCACTATCATCACCATCACAGGCTTTTCTTGGGCATTTCATAATCTCTCATGCAGGTCTGATGCGCTCACTGGAGAATCACTGCCGATAGTAACCAACATCTGTTAAGTGTGAGTGACGTGCCTGGCTAAGCACATCACACATATGTTACCTGACCCTCACAGGACATGGAATGGGTACTAATGAGGACAGCTGAAGCTCACACAGATTACATTGCTGAAGTTCACACAGCTGGAAGAGCAGAGAATTGAGTGAGCCCGTGTCTGTGCGTTTGGAATCTGTGCCCTCAGCTGCCACTCTCTACTGGCTGCATTAGGTTCCCGCCTCGGGTCTGTGTCTAAACACGTGCCCTTGAAGACCCAAACAAACATTCTCTAATGAAAACATACAAATGGCCAATAGGCACATGAGAAAATGCTCAATATCACTATTAGAGAAATGCATATCAAAACTACAATGAGGTATCGACCTCACGCTGGTTAGAATGGCCATCATTCAAAAGTCCACAAACTATACAAGCTGGAGAGGGTGTGGAGAAAGGGAGCCCTCCTCCACTGCTGGTGGGAATGTAGTTTGGTGAAGCCATTATGGGAAACAGTATGACTCCTGGGCATATATCCCGAAAAAACTCTTTATTTTGAAAAGGTACATGCAACCCCATGTTCATAGCAGCACTATTTACAATAACAAAGACATGAAAGCAACCTAAATGTTCATCTACAGATGACTGGATAAAGAAGTTGTGGTGTATTTATACAATGGAATGCTACTCAGCCATAGAAAAAAATAAAATAATGCCATTTCCAGCAATATGGATAGAACTGGAGATCATCATTCTAAGTGAAGTAAGCCAGAAGGAGGAAGAAAAATACTGTATCACTTATATGTGGAGTCTAAAGAAATGACACAAATGAACTTATTTACAATACAGAAACAGACATAGAAAACAAACATGGTTATCAGGGTAGAAAAGAGGGGAGCTGGAGGGATAAATTGGGAGTTCAGGATTTGCAGATACTACTGTATATAAAAGAGATAAAAAGATGCAACTGTATAGCACAGGGAACTATATTCAACATCTTATGATAGCCTGTAATGAAAAAGAATCTGAAAAGGAATATATATATATGTATAACTGAATCACTATGCTGTACACTGGAAGTTAACACATTATAAACTGACTATACTTCAATAAATAAAACACATGCCCTGGTGTATACAGAAAAGGGACAGACTGAGAAACTCATTATAGAAATGTGCAATTAGAGAACATACCAGTTACATGACTCGTAAACAGCAGGCAAAGTTGAGAAAACAAACAAAAATTCAGTGTTCCAGAAAGAGTGCCTATGATATGGCAGGTATGCAATGATTTTTTTTTTTAACTAAATGGCCAAGGGAAGTGCTCACTTCTCCTGAGCAATCCTGGAAACGTTTTTAGGATGCATTGTTGAGATGTGAAGAACTCAAACACTGATCAAATATTTGGGGAACCTGGGTGAATAGTTGTTGATGGCCAAATTGTTCCATCATAATCCACTGCACCCCTCTCCCTATCTTTGGCTCAAGGGAACGGTGGTTTCACCATACCTGACAGTGGTCAGACTGCACAGAGAAGTGTATCCACTGCGTCCTCTTCAGAGGCTCTTGGGAAAACAGATAAGGAGGAACATTAGAAGAAAGTGGAGGAGAGAATCAGGGAGTCCTCAGAGCTGGGTTTATCTCATCTTTGTCCTCAAAATTCACATGTTAAATGTCTACCTATGAAGGTGGGTGGCAAATGAAAGTTCTCAGAGGACCTACAGTGAGACCCCTATCAAAAATAAGACAGCATAGGCAAAGCACAGTGGTGAGGACTGTGGGTTCTGTGGGATGTGGGAGGAGAGCCTTTCAGAGCCTCAGGTGGTCAGGGAGACCTCCAGGGATCATACAGGATTGGAGGCGAGAAAGAAGAAGGTGTATAGATCAGGCCCCATAGGCAAGAGTGCTAACAGAAGGTTCTGATGACAGTGAATTTGACTGGTTTGCCTGCAGTTAAGGGTTTTGTGTAAGAAAGCAAGTGTACATAAAATTGGAAACAGGAAAGAAGACCTGGAATGCCAGGTTAAAGAGAACTTCCCTATACGTTCCAAGCCATTATAACAAGGGAGATGTATGCTTGCTGATGTTTGGGGAAAATTCATCTTGTGGCAGTTGAGGAAGACTCAGAAGAGGGGAAAACAGTGTGGGTGGGCCAGGCATGAGATGGTGAGGCTCTGGAGCAGGGTGGCATCAGTGATGATGGAGAGGAAGGGCAGATGAGGGAGACGGACTGAAGGAAAAAAGTGGCCGGATGTGGGGGAAACACAGGCGGAGTGGACATCACTCCAATGTCACAGGGAAAAGCTTTCATGCAGAATAAAGAGTAAACTCGTTTGACAGAGCTCCAGAGGACAGAACCAGGGCCAGCTGCTCTTCTAAGGAGGCAGATTTGGGCTCCAGGTTAGGAATCCAGAGCTAAAGCTGATCAAGAATGGAATCAGCTGCCCAGGAGCCGGTGAGTGCCCAGCTCGCAGGGGCGCAAGGTGGACACCTGCCAGGAGTCTGCAGGTGTGGGAGGATGGATGTGAGGGCCCGAGACTCGGTGACAGGGAGAGGGAGGGTGCTGCAGACAGACGACATCTCCCGGGGGGAGGAGGATGAGAGATGGGAGGGTGGTGACGAAGGAGTGGGTGGGGAACAGATGTCTGATTCGAGTGGAGGGAGCAAACGGTGCAGGAAAGAGAATGAGTGGGAGGCAGTTGTCTGCTTCTGCGGCCGAGCAGGAGGATGAGGGCCTCAGTGCTTCGAATCCCCACTGTTCTGGAGCTGGGTCTTTGGGTTATGTGGGTCCCGGATGATGTGGGTCTAGGTTAAAAGATTGGAGTTCCATAAGGACACAAGAGGGTACTTTCCCAACTGCCTCCTGCCCTCTGCTACTATAGGACCTCCAGACCCCCTTAACCGCCCCTGGGGCCAACTCATATCTGCTCATGAACACAGTGACCTCTGTGGCAACCTCCACATCCATGTTCCACGGCC